TTGTTGCCCGCTGCTATGTTCCGCTTGGGGACGGTTTGCCTTCAATAAGGGTCAAAGGGTTCATGACCCAAACCACCAAATACGGAGATTCCGCAGATTGTTGAGGGTTCAACCTCCTGATGAGTCGGTGCAGTTCCGACGAAACAATCTTGTTATCATCGGTTTCTATTTTTTTCAGTTTTTGTCTTATAATCTACAATGTTTTTTTTTGCCGACTTGCGTTGTCCATTTCCCTGCTCGCTTTGCCCTTGCCCTTAAGCATATGTCTATGTGTTCTGTAGGAATTACTTGTTTCTCAATTCACTAAGCCTATGTCTATGTGTTCTGTAGGAATTACTTGTTTCTCAATTCACTAAGCCTATGTCTATGTGTTCTCTGGGTACTACTTGTTTCTTAGTTCACTTTCTTTGCCTCGTCCTATTGTGTTTTTGTGCCCGTTTGCCTCCCCCATTCCCTCTTGGCTATGTGTTTTGTTGTTGCGTGTCGTTTATGTGCCTCGTATGTCTCCTCAGTGTGCATTACCTCTTGTTTGCTGCTCCCTGCCCTCTCCCCATGTGCTAGTCTGTTTGGCCTCAGCAGTGGGGCATTCAACTTCTCTTTGTTTGCTTGTTTTGGTCATGCCATATGAAGTGGACGATTTATTTCCTGGTATGTTGCTTGATGTGCTTTTTCTGCACAGCTCGTCACGTCTGTTCATATGGGGGTTTCGTCTCAAATTACACACTCACAGGGCACTTGTGCCCGCCGTTTGCCCGCAGGGAGGTTTACTCCCCCTTGTCGTGTTGTGTCTGCTTGCACGATCTCCATACCACCAACAATGGTTCTGCTTAGCTTGGATGACGGAAAAGAAAGCAACCTCTTTCTAACCTCCTAGGTTCCTTTGAAGAATGAATAACCTAACCTTGTTCATTACTCTACTTCATCTAGCCTCTCTCTCTGCTTGCACGATCTCTATACCACCAGCAATGGTTCTGCTTAGCTTGGGCAACGGAATAGAAAACAACCTCTTTGGAAGCTCCTAGGTCCCTTCTAAGGCTGAATAGCCTAGCCTTCTTCATTACTCTACTTCATTTAGCCTCTCTCGTATGATGTGTATGTGTATGTCTGTATGCGTGTGCAGCATCCGTGGGGCACTAGGCTGAATGGCTTAGTGCCCCAGAACAATAGTTGATCCGGCCTTACCCATGAAGGTATGTGGGTGGGACACACACACACACACACACACACACACAATCAGTTTTATGTCTGTCAGTTTTTTTCCTATTGTCTGTTATCTCTCTGATGCCCTGCGTGCCATGTCGTTCCTTGCATTCATGGAAATTTGGACTTGTGGTCATACAGGGTAAATAGGCCGTCGGAGTGGCGCGATGCAAAAGAATGGAAAATACAGGGGCGCCAGACAAATATTCAGGAGAGTAACAAAAACGAGTTATAATTGCAGTGTGGGGCAAGATACAGCACTTCGGGCCAGGTACGATGGATGGTACCGCTAGGGGTATATCAGAAAGTTTTCCAACGGCTATCAGGTAGGGGCATGCTGCAAATTTGGTGTGGGTAGCGGTCGGGGCACTACGAAAACAACTGAGGCCCAAACAACACAGGGTTTTATGGAAATTTTGACTTATGTTCAGAGGGGCGCGACAAGGTTAATAGGCCGTCGGAGGGGTGCGAGGAAAAGAATAAAAAATACAGCGACGCCAGACAAATATTAAAGAGGGTAGCAAAAACGAGTTCAACAGAAAAATTTCCTAGAATTAAATATTCATTCTATAGTAAAATTACATTCTAAATTTCAAATTTTCATTCCATCTTGTAAAATGTCATTCCAATTTTAAAAATTTTCGTCGTACTTGAGAATTTTCCTTCCAAGAATGGGGTATCCCTTCTTATTTGAACTGCATGCTAGAGGTGGAATGAAAGTCTAGATGAGTTCATGAAATATTTTAATTGGACTGTCATTCTAAGTAAGGATTTTCAGTCATAAATAAGTTAATTCAATTTAAATTAGAAGATATTTGTTGTAGTAGAATGAAAGTTTAATTAAAACATTTCATAAACTCGTCCAGACTTCCATTCCATCTTGAACAAATAAATGTAGTTGGAAGGGAAAACTCATATTTAGATGAGAACTTATCAAATAAAACTGAAAATTTTAGAATTGGACAAACATTGGAATGATAATTTATAAATATGAAAGATTTTTTTTTTATGGAATGTTTTTTTTACTTTTATTTCTCGTGGGAATTTTTCTGTTGTTATAATTATTGCACTACGGGCCAAGATACAGCACTTTGGGCACCCTACCTGGCCAGAAAGTTGAGTTGTATCCATTTCCCGAACTGAAGTTCAAAACTGTGGGCCTCGCCGCACCACAGTCGAAAGGTAAAAAAATTCGACGGCTGTCAGAACAAATTCGGCAACCTCCATTTGAAAGTTTGCCCCCCCTTCGCCACACAGCACTGTAGCGTGCACGCACTTGTGAAAGCAAGATGGAAAAAGAAGAACGTGCCCGAGGGTACGACAAGCATCAGTTCATCCCGACCTTACCCCCGCTCACCAAATTTCGAAGCGAAGGGCCTCGCCACACCACACCCGACTTGGGAAAAATTTCGGGAGTGCTCCCTGAAGTGAAAACCCGCTCGGGAGTGCCTTTTGCCACACTTCACTCTCGACCCGACCGCGCTCAAATCCTGAAAATGTCATTTGTCACATATGGACACGATCAATGTGAAGCAGTCTGGCAGAAGTCGTTTGTCCCTTCCGGCTCCACTCCAGAATCTGGGATGAAACTCGGAGGAGCGAAGGAGGTCTCTCGAAAAAAACGCTTTGCTGGCGGTGAGTTCGGGAGTGCTCTCGGGAAGCACATTCTGACAGCTCCCGAATTCAATCTGACAGCTTGAACTCGGGAGCTGGTGTGGCGATGGTGCATTCCTGAAAATGGCCAAGTCAGTAGTAGTGTGGCGAGGCCCGAAGTCTGGGCGCAGCGGAGGAGTGTCGAAAGCATCGGAGTAGCAGGCTGGGGATTCAACATCTTTCTACAGGAGGTGTCGAAAAACATTCTTTGACAACTTGCAAAATTTCTTCCCGTCTCCGACTTCGACAGCCTGTGTGGCGAAGAGAAACTGTCGAAAATCACATTTTCGACAGTGGTGCGGCCAGGCCTTGTATCTTGCCCCATATAGTGCTGCAATTATAACTCGTTTTTGTGACTCCCACGTAGTTTCCCCTTCTTAGGGCCTCGCCACACCACTCTTGAAACGGGGAATTTTTTCAAGAGCGGTCAAACGTTCTCAAGAGCAGGGTTTTCAAGAGTTTCCGTCCCTCGCCACACAACACTTTCGAAAGGGCGATGGTGTTGGACAACCGATGAAAAACGACAGTCATACAACTTTGTTTTTTCCGAATGGAGTCAGGATAACGACCTGACAACTCTCGAAAATCGAAAGTCCCTCAAGGGTTCAGCCGAGGACGCTTGAAAACGCACGAGTTGCAGGCTGGGGTTTCCCATCTTTCGAGAGCTGCTCTTGAAAGGGTTTCAAGAGCTGCTCTGACAGGCCTTGACTGCCCCAAGTTTCGAGAGGCTGTGTGGCGATGCACCAACTCTTGAAAACGAGTTTTCAAGAGTGGTGTGGCGAGACCCTTACTAAGTTTCAGTTTTCTTCTTCTGAGAAGTCTGCACGAGTATTGGGACTGAGAAACAGGTTAGCGAGCAATACCCGCTTTTGCGTTGAAGGGGCCGTAGGACCCGCCAGACTCAGAGTGAAACATCCCCGCAACCAAACCTTTGTATCCATTTTCCCCCCAAACGGGGAAAAAGTGCCGCAGGTCCCCAAATCACTTTTGGTGTCATTTTTGCACCCTCGCTGGGCCGGTAACGGTCGCTGTGTAAATATTGCGGTAAAGTGTTTTGCAGGGTGCAAAAATAACGCCGAAAGTGAGTTTGGGGCCTGCGGCACCTTTTACCCCGTTTGGATGGAAGTGCATTCAAAGGTTTGGTCGCGAGGAGGTTTTATGACTTTTCCCGAAGTAGTCAGAGGCCGACGGGAAACTCAGGCCGGCCGAGGGGGGCCGCATGACACTTCCGCCGACGCCGGGGTGCGCTCGGACCAAGCGTCAACTGCCGGGAAACCGGTAGGCCTGACTGACTGCCTCGTTACCATCGAGATAGCGGGTCAGTTGATGACGTTACCGTCACCATCGCCATGTCGGATGGTCAACCACTGAATGGTGTCTGTAGGTGACCCACCAGTCAGTTGTCGTTTCCCCGTCCCGCTCTTCTCCTTTTAGATGCTTGTTCTTCTCTCAGCTAGAGATCCCCTTTCGTCTACCTGCAAAGACCTATCAGAGCGTTGGTTCGTAGATTGCCTAACTGTCGTGATTCGTCACTTTTGAAGACATGGTGGAAGTTGACATGGAACATCGATGTCCACCGATTGCACTGGGAGCTTCCGAACAAGAAGATGAACGAATTAGAGAATTGGCGAGACTGTGCTACGAGGAGGGTATTTTTCCATGGAACATTGATTGAGGTGAGATGGTGGTAGATGGACGTGAGGCTAGGTTCAAGGTCAACCATGTCATTGATCGCACGAAGGTAGCCAGGCTCAAAGAACATACTGTCACGATCATCTTTAGAGAGGGTGCGCGTTTCCTTGCCAAGAAAATCAAGGATGACGTGATTAGGGCGTATGAGGATGAACGTATTCAAGATGGGAGTTTTGAGGGTGAGAATTTCGGACGCAGGAGAATCAAGATGGAATCCCCGAATGTGCTATCCTATATTGCAAAGAGCTCAGTAATAGCAAGATGGATGGTGGAAAGAGGGAGGGATGCCATCACTCTTGGGTCTACTCGCTACGCGTTGGAATTCAAGTCATGGTTAACGAAAGCGCAGCTCAAGGAACAAAGAAGAATGGTTGATGAATCCACCTTTTGGGTTGTGGCGGTGCAAGTGCCGATTGATGCGATGTTATATCTCGAGTCGCACATCCGCAGAGCTGTAGGTTCAGTAACCTTCACTCATCCCCCTGAGCCTGATAGACTCAAGCCGTGCCTAATAAACATCAAATTTAATGTTGACCCCTACTCGAGGGGAAACATGAAAGTTAAGATCTGGGTGGAGACGTGTGAAGGAGATGAGTTGGAGGTCCGTCTGGCTTGCTCTTCCACTCCTCGTTGTAGGAGATGAAGAGCCTTTTTTTCGCACGAACGATGAGTGCAGAAGAAACGCCAGACAACGGGATCCGGCATCAGAATCGAACGCACCACCTTTTGCCAGTGGGCAAGGGCAAAATGGAGGACCTCAAGCCTCGTCAATTCCAAGGTATCATGGGCCACTTGGCCCAGTTGCCTCTGGTTCAGGATCTTCAGCGGGGCTTACAGTGGCCGTGTCGACAACCGTTACAACAGCGCAGCCGGATTTAGGAGGCGTAGGGCTGCCGCCGTTGGGGACTTCTTCGTACAACAATCCGATGTTCTCGGCGGTCAATGTTCCAACTCAATTCCAACAAATTCTGACCCAGTTGGAAACACAGAACCTGCTGAATGGGGTCGTCGGCCTTTGTACCATGGATGTCTCACAGCGCCCCATCGATGATGATGGGAACGCAGTTGGGACTGGGATGCCCCATCATCAAAGTTATTTTCCAAACCAAAGCAGGATACAATATGGTGCCGGGATGGCTAGGACACAATTGGTCTCTACAAGAAGACCGCGCTCGCGGGAACTCTTCAAAGCTGGAAGCGGTACTGCTCAACCAGGAGCTCAAGGCAGCGGTGCGGCAATGTCACGAGTGAACGGAGGGAACATTCATACGCCGGAGAACCGTCACCAAGGAGATCGTGCTGAATTTGCTGGCAATCCCTCTTCGTCTACTCGACGTCCAAGTTCAGTGGGCAAACAGAGAAGACAGGACATGAGAGGTAGTTATATCTCTGACACCCACCCCCCAAGGGTGAAGGCTTCATCCTCTTTGGAAGGATCGCAAGGGAATGTCCTCGATATTGGTACCCCCGGTACCAAGACAACGAGGAGACGATTCCCTTTACCTTCGTTAGGTAGAGGCCAATTGGAAAACATGGAGGTAAGAATTCTTCCATTCTTTGTCCTTGTGATACGAGGGTCGATTTGGTTTATGACTTGGACTTTAGCGGACGGCGCTCTGAGCTTTGTAACTCTTCCCTCTCCTGACACTCCGATGCCAACTGCTCTGGCAGCGATCATTCGTCCGGTAATTCGAGATAAATTTATTTTCCGGCTAATCCCGGACTTGATTATGCCTCGCTTCCTGATGGATCACCCGATCATTCGGGGAACTAAACTGAAGTTCTTTGTTCCGATAATTAATGTTCGTCTGGCCCCGGGTCAACTGGAGACTTTGGAGGCTGAGGGGCTCAAGCTTTGTCCACTTTCGTGGATTATTGAGAACAAAAAGCACGAATTCTGCCGATTCTCGGCATTGCCGATGAGAATGATAGAATTTCCTGCTGAACTCGATATTAAGCTTCCGAAAGAGAAGCGGCTTGCTTCGGCTTTTATGAAGTGAATCCTCACTTCGCCTTGGTTGGTCGGTCCCGAATCACAATAAGCTATTCTCCCTTCTTTCCACATCCAACAAGTGGAACGCAGGAATGGTAATGAATAAGTTAAGGTTGGCGACATGGAATGTTAGAGTCCTCTGCGATGAAAATCAGAAGTACAAGAAAGCTAGGCTTAAATCCTGGATACACGACAACAAAAGTCGGATTGTGTGTCTCCAGGAGACTACACTGAGTAAAGAAAGGATTGACCGACTAGGATCTTGGTGGGACGACCCCCAGCTCTGGTCTCCTGCTCAAGGGACCAGGGGGGGAGTTGCCATTTTATTGCACAGATCACTGGAAATGGAAATTCTTGACCACTATGCCGACCTATAGGGTCGGTGGGTGTGGGTCAAATTATTTCTTGATAATAGGTCCTAGACTATTGTCTATGTCTATGCACCGTAAGAAACTAATGAGAAAGCATGTTTTATTGATGAACTGCTCTCAATATTACCAGACAGTGACATGCTAATCATAGGTGGGGATTGAAATATCTCACTTGATATTTCCAAATCCAACTATGGTGGGCAAACAGGTAAGGACAAAATGACTCTCACCAATCTGATGAATGAGATGAAGTTGATTGATCCCTTTCGATTGACTCATCCGGATCAACCCGGATATACATGGGTTTCTAACCTTCGCCAGGGAGTGGGTTATATCAGACGTCGCCTGGACTTTTTCTTGTGCTCTGAAAATCTGTGGGAGATTTGATTGCCATGTATTTAGCCATCGAACTTCAAAGTTTATGTTTTTATGTTATTGCAGCATCAAAACGAAATTCTGAATTCTCTACAGAGGCTGGATTAAAATATTTCATTCTAGGTGCCTTTTCCTCTGGGATTTTCTTATTCGGTTGTTCTATGATTTATGGATTAACAGGAGTGACCAATTTTGAAGAATTAGCCAAAATTTTGACTGGTTATGAAATGACTTTTTTTGGGACTCAATCGAGTGGTATTTTCATGGGAATTTTATTTATTGCTGTAGGTTTTTTATGGAAAATAACTGCAGTTCCTTTTCATATGTGGGCACCTGATGTATACGAGGGTTCTCCTACTTTTGTCACAGCTTTCTTTTCTATAACACCTAAGATTGTTGTTCTTGCAAATATGTTACGTGTGTTTCTTTTTAGTTTTTATGATCCAACATGGCAAACAATCTTGCAGGATAGTATAGGGGAGAACTCACAACCAATTTCGGACCATAAACCAGTATGCATGGTGTTGCACACACAACAGATGAATAAAGGTAAAGAGCTCTTTCGGTTCAATATTTGCAACTTGGCAGATGATGGGCTGGTGGAATGGATGAAGCGGTTTTGGCAGGAATGAAATTCAACAAAGCCTCACTACCCCTCTTTGGGGGAATGGTGGGATGCAGGTACAAACCTGTTCTCTAATTTTCTCAACGTATTTTCACACATACTGGAAGGCGATAGGAAGAAACAAGAGAAAAAACTGCAAATAAAAATTGCTTATGTTGAACAACAAATGGAGGTCCATCCTATCTCTGCGCTAGTTTGGGGTAAAGAATGAGCCCGACTGTGTACTCAGTGGGACACTGTGCGACAGAAGCACTCTGAGATCTGGGCGGAAAGAGCCCGAATCAAAGGAGTGACGGTCCATGAAAGAATGACTAAAGAGTCGTTTCAAAAGCTGTTACCGTCACGGACTTCTCCACCGCTGAAGGAATTATGTCACCTATTTGATGTTAACGCTCCTAAAGCAAAGGAACTGACTAATCGTTGTGAATATGCCTCGTTATATTTTTGTGATATTCTTACATCTCGTAATCAAGGTGCTGCTATTGACGACAGCCTGGATTCAGGCAATTCTCACTGGGAAAACACAGTGATCAGATTGTCCATGCCCGGTAAGTTGGATTTAGATCGATCGATTACGGAGATCGAAGCTCATGAGGCACTCAAATCTATGGCTAAGGGCAAAGCCCCAGGCTGTGATGGCCTGCCAATGGAATTGTTCCTATGTATCTGGGACGAGGTGGGTTCTCCCTTGACCGAATTATATAATAACATATTAGAGGGTGACCGGTTAACTGTCAACATGCGAAGAGGCATTATTTCCTTGCTTTTCAAGAAAGACAGCCGCTCAGAGATCCGCAACTAGTGGCCCATTTTTGTTCTCAATGTATCGTACAAACTCTTAGCCAAAGTTCTGGCACGCCGGCTGGGACAGTATCTTCCGGACCTGGTGGTCCCGGACCAAGAGGCGTTCATTAGAGGTCGCTCGATTTTTGACAATATTGTCACAGTGATTGAGACGCTAGAGCTAATTCACAATGAGCAAACGGATATTGCAGTCCTCCTGTTAGATCTGGAGAAAGCATATGACCGAGCCAATTGGTCATATGTAGTTACCACATTGAAATGGTTGGGCTTTGGAAATAATTTGATCTGTTGGGTTATAGCGCTCTATTCGCTCTCCACAGTCTGTATGATGGTGAATGGAAGGCTCTCTAAGGAATTCACATTGACTCGATCTCCGCGATAGGGTTGCCCTTTGGCTCCCCTGTTATTTGCACTTCAGTTTGAGGTGGTACTCAATAATATTACAGCTCACCCACAAATCGAGGGCATGCCTAGTGACCCTACATCATACAAGGGGAAAGCCTTGGCGGATGATTTGTTTGCAGTATCGGAGAACTCCCTAACATCGCTCACACCTTTCCAATCTTGCCTAGATGAGTATGCTGATCTGTCGGAAGCTGCCATTAACTGGCACAAATCGGTATACTTCTTGCCAAAAACGTACAAGATGGCAGTGCAGTGGGGAATGAAACATATTTCGGAGCAGGGCTCTGAATGCTTCTTGGGCGTGCATATCTCTTTGGGGGAATGCTCTGAGGCACAAGACGATATCATGCTACAAAAGTACATGCACAGACTGGTAACTTGGGGGAAAACTCCCCACCTTTCATTATTTAGCCGGGCTATGGTGCTGAACGGGGCCCTGCTCGCCTTATTATGGTTCGTGGGGACAGTGAGGGCCTTTTCCCCCCACATGTATGCCCTCATCAAACGAAGAGCGGCAAGGTTTATTTGGAAACCTTACGCGGAGGACGAAGAGAGCTTTCTGTCGAAGGTGGTTTGGGAAATGCTCTGCTTCCCAAGAGAGGAAGGCGGATTTGGTATCCTTGACCCTAAGAAACAAAATGAGGCTATGTTGGTTAGATGGATAGTTCGGGCCTGTTTGGAGTCCCCAGTTCCGCACTGGGTGTATCTGGCCGAAAGTATTTTGGCCAAGGAATGGCACCTCCTTAGGGCAGAGGATGTCTGGACCTGTCGGTTCCTGTGTTCCTTTCAACGGAGGATGATTAAGTCCCCCTTTTGGCATGCTATCGTTCAGGCATGGAGGAAACTCCAACCTGATGTCTGGGTTGAACCGGTGACTAAGGCTGAAGTTTTAGCTCAGCCACTGTTCGAGAACCCCCATATTCGCTCTCAGAATGGGGATTGGTTCAAGGCCGACTCGGCCCCCTCTAGTTTCGGCCGCTCATGGATCGAAAAAGGAGTGTTGAGAATTAAAGATATGAGATGAATGGACAGGTTGTTGGATCTCTGAGGAAAAGTTGAAGGAGAAACTAGGAAGACTATGGTATGTGGAAGCACGAAGGATGCTACTCATCAATGCAATTCCCGTCCAGCTGGGTCTTTCAAATTGGCCTGGAGGGAATCGACCCAACAGACACCTGGTTCAAGAGCAAAACGACAACTGATGACCGTGTTTGGAAACTCGTTCACACTCAGACAGATGGTAAAAGAGTCTTCCAGAGCTGGTGGAGCAAGGACACTTCGATTCCAGAAGAAGAAAACGTTCTTCCCCAATAAGATTGAAATTTACACAGATAAGAGTCTTTGAGATCCCTGGGACAGCTGCAGGAACTTCAATTGTGATTTTTGACAATGGCAAACCATTATCACATGTGCATGTCGACCGGAATCAATGGGCATGGAGAGCCAAAGGAAGGCAGGGGGAAAATCAGAGTTTGATTGACTACAATTAAAGAATCGGTTACCACTTGGTGGTTCCATAAAAAATCCCAGAGGTAATCGCTAGGTCTTGTTGGGTCAGATTGCTGAACATAGAGGGTGAGGAAGTGGGAAAAGCATTGGGAAAATGTTGGGAATAGTTGAAACTGATAGCTTGTCAATGGCAGACGACAACTTTGTGATTGCTATCTCATTTTGGTAACACCGTCGGCAGTTTGGCTTGCCGAGCATGGACTCACTATCGAGTTAACCTGCACGAGATGTGGCTGGGCTTTTGAATCCACCGTCCATCTTTGGTGGGATTGCCCCAGATCTGCGATTTTGTGGAAATGGATTGCCTCTGTCTGGGACAGAGTTTCGGGGCCAGTTTTCCCATGGTCCAAGCTGTGGGTTCTCTTGGGTGAGATTCCAGACAATTGTTCTATTGCCAAGGGCTGGGGATATGTAGCCCAGACCATATGGGCAGTGGGCGTCTCGATCATTTGGCAAGAACATAATGAGAAAGTATTTGAGAACAAGGATTGGCCAAACAAACGGGTAAGAGCGACCTTCCTGAGATGTCTGAGGACTGCAATTCTGGCAGATTGGCGGAGAAAGGTGACCACTTCGAACACAGGTGCAAGTGGTCTGGAATGGTTTCGTGAAACATGGTGTATTCAAAATACAATAGCAACGATAGAATGTTCGGAACGACCATCACTGAAAGATTGGTTGTTTAAGGAAGGAATGTGAGAGGTATAGAACAACTGCTAACCTGGTTCGCTCGGTTATATTTTCGGTCGCAGGTAGACAGGCAGAGGGTAAGACCGTAAGGGGAGCTGGATAGGTTCTGAGTAAGGATCCGCGGGGTTCCTAGTGGTCGCCCGTTAGACCACTTGCAGAGTAGGGGTAATTGTGTTGTTTCTGCTCAGTTGTTTGGCTCGTGTGACAGCACGTAGCTTTTAGACTATTAGCATTCTGTAGGGTAGTTGTTAGGATTGAGTTTGAAAATTGTTTCTTCTTTTGTTGTTTGCTTTTGTTGTTTGCTTTGGTTTCACTGTTTGTTCTTTTATGGCCCTGAGGGCGTTTTCTTTGGGTCTCGCTGCACTACTCTACTTCAAGAAAATTTGGAGAGTTATGCATAGCTGCACTAACTCTACTTTAGAACCTCAAAAGAAATTCGGAGAGCTGTCAGAAACCACAAAAGAATTGCATTCTCCGACGTCGGAGAGTGCCCAGCCTGCAAAATCCGTTACTCGGATAGACCTTTGAAGGAACCACCGATTTGCTCCACATCTGGAGAGTGAACCTTGAGTCAGGGCAGACAAACGGGGACTTTGAGTTGTCGTTTTGTACCCTCGATAGTTGTAGAGTCTGCATTTGTAGAGTTAGGGTCTCGCTCCACTACTCTCGACTCACGAAAAGTTTCGTGAGTCACTGAGTCCTTCTAGAGCTCTCAAACGTGCAAAACTCTCGAAAAAAAGTCTTGGCTCCACTTACTTTAGAAGGCTTTGCTCGAGATGCAGTGGCGGAATGAGACGAGCTCTCTGACTGCACTAAGAGACGGGGCCGCCCTGCTCTGATGGTCAGGACACGAGGTGCACTCACGAAAAAAAATGGTCGGAGCGGGGTTACGAGGGAGGACACTGGAAAAGCATGTCGTCGCAGGCTGGGCACTCTAGACACTTCGAGAGTGCCCTTCGAGAGTGCTTTCTGACAGCTCTCGAAGGGCATTTTCGAGAGCACCTATCTAGAGTGAGTGGAGCGAGGCCTTACTCTCGAAATTTCGAGAGTATAGAGTAGTGGAGCGAGACCCTTAGTGCAGCGATGACCCAAAATCCGAGAAATCGGAGAGTCTGACAACTCTCCGCGTACTCTTCGATTTCCCGGAGAGTGGAGAGTAGTGCAGCGAGACCCTTTGTTTCTTTTTTTTTGTTTGGCTGGAGGCTCAGTGCAGCGGTCTGGAGCTGTGTGTGTGTGTGTGTGTGACGAATACGAGACTCGAACACACGGCCAACAGCTCTACACTGTCAGGCAAACACCTAACCATAAGGCTAAGTGGGCTGGGGTGAAAGTGAAGCCCCAGGACTCAAACCTAAGCACTTCACCCCACCCCAGCACGGAGATCC